GAACTTCCCGACCTCAAACCTTGTGGGCGGGACTAAGTTCGGAATGGCACCCAGGCTAGGCCTTTCATACCACAATGCTGCCAATACGCAATTATACAGTAGCTGTAAGTTAGAAACACGTTCAGCAGTCGTCTAGAACACGTCAGACAAATTGATATACATTGGAGATAAGTTCTTGATAAGTTACGCATATGTTACTCATAGGTTTTGGATAAGCTGGACGCCACGACTTATGAGTAACTTACATTTAACATTTGTAAACGATCAGATAACTTACTTGTAACTTATGGCCCATATATGCTGGCATACGTATGTTGACGTGACAGCGTGTTTTAGCGTGTTCATAACTTATCCAACGTATGCCTGTGTTTTTGCCAGATTTTTCGTATGTTAAGCATGCACTGGGCTTTTAGATAGAAACCTTTAACCAATGTGTATGGATTGATTTAATGTCTCTTGAGATGTCATGTGGTGTGATTTGGCGCTATAGAAAAAAAATGTTTTAACAAAAAAAAAGGTTTTGAGAAGACCTATGCTGTTTTCTCAGATTTGTTTCATTTTCAATTTCTTTTTTCCAAATTGCTGTTTTTCAGATTGTGTTTACAAATTAGATATTTTTTTTTATTGCTTTTTAACAGATTATATTTTCTTCACTTCTGGGGGTTATCCTTCCTCTGAAGTGAAGATGCATTTCTATTGGTCTGCATGGATGTTAGAAACAGCATTTTTATTGGTCAATATCAAGCGTTTCTATTGGGCTTCGAAGGGATCTGTAAAACACACAAAAAATCAATTTCTAAAACTCGATCTAAAAGAAAAAAATGGTTAAAAAAAAAAGAGAAAATATGAAAAAAAAATTTCAAATAAAATCTGAGAAAACAGTGAAAATACTCACATTTCCATTTACAGAATTTGTGCTTTTTGTAACAAAATTGGAACAAAATTCACTCCATCAATAGTCATGTTAACATAAATGTTCTGAATGGTTCGGGCCAGGATTTAAATTATTATCCTCTATCTCCAGAGCGTTGGAAATTTGGCTTTCCAAGACTTCCACCAAAGAACCCTTTCGTCCTCCTCTACCTTCACAGCCAGGATGATGTGCTTCATAGCGGCAGGAGTGGTGCTCATTTTGGGGATTCCACCCGTGCTGATCGGCGCCGTCGCAGCTTCAACAGGTAAACCAAAATCAGTGGTTAGAACTCCCTGCTTTGATTTCTGTAAGAACCCTGATAAAGGCTGGTCTCCTGTTAGACTGGAACATGACGTCGTATGGATCGCCGTCTCCATACGAGCGAGGAGAGTCAGCTATGGTGTTGCCCATCGTCCTTCTACATCTGACCCCTACGGCTGTGTTCGTGGTGGGAATGGGAGCCATTGCTGGTGCTGCCATGTCCTCCACGGACTCCTGTCTGCTGGCTGCAACCTCCATCTTTACCACCAACATCTACAAGATGATCAGAAATCAGGTAGAAAGAGAGGACGTACTAATGGGAGTACTAATGCGTAACCCAGATAATCAATTACAGTTTGCTTTCATACTTAGGTTTCGGATAGGGAGCTGCAGTGGGTGATCCGCATCACCATCCTGGTTGTTGGAATTGGAGGAACGTCCCTCACCTATGTGGACAGCAGAGTTCTGGCCTTTTGGATCCTGAGTTCCGACTTGACCTACACCATAATGCTCCCCCAGCTCATCTGCGTCCTCTTCATCAAGGTTTCTAACAGTTATGGCGCAATGGCTGGCTACATTATAGCCTTTGTTATGAGGGTTCTATGCGGGGAACCTGTCTTCAGTTTGCCTGCCATTCTTCGCTTCCCAGATGGGACGTTTGAGGATGGCGTTTATATACAGCGCTGGCCCTTTAAGACCATCTGCATGCTGACGTCTCTGGTCACAATTGTTACGATTTCATATGTCACCGCCTTGTTGTTCAACAAGGGGATCCTTCCTGAGAGTATGGATGTGTTCAAAGTGAAGGCTTGGGGAGTCCTTTCACCACCAGAGGAAGCTCCAGAGTATGAAGATGACAATGAAAAGGTCTCTTCTGAACCAATGCTCGATTCCAAATGCTAAATAACTCTTTGTCTGTTTCTGCTGATGTCATGAATGAAACTGTGATGTAATGATTTTGATGCATTTTTTTTTATATCCAAAGTATGCTGTGTAAATAAAGCTGAAGTTTAAATGCAATGTGCTTTCATTCAAATATTTATGCCACTTTTTCACATTGAAAGTAGTTGAATGATTAAAATTCCTTTAGGGACAACTTTGTTATTTTTGTCAGCACTAATGTCTTTTATTTTTAAGGTGGACTGACAGGAAATGGCGTGAAATGAGAGGTGGAAGACATCTCAAAGGTCCTGAGACCAAAAGGCTTGAACTCAGGTGTGTTGCATTGCAGACTGAGGCCTCCAGGATCCGTCCCATTCTGACTCTTAAACAATCTTTACGCAGATGATTTGTTCCCGTTTACAGAAGCCTCTGGAAGAAACTTTTCAGATTAAAAGATCCTAATTTTGTATTTCAAGTGCAATACTTACATGGGTCAGGCAAAGCGTGCTAATTTTGTGAGGCGCTGCCATCATTGTTTCCTTAAACGTCTTAGATTCTGATCCCATATTTATGTAGATGATTTATTACAATTTTCTATATGATCATCTGCAAAAAACTTTTCAAAATAAAAGAACTTCTAGAGACTTTACATTTTAAGTTAAATAGTCAGAGGTTTTACATGGATCAGGCATAGCATTGCGGAGCTCATTTTCTATAGGTTGCATTAAAAACAGCCCTAGATTATTGAGGCATGGACTCAAAAGATCCCTTAAAGTACACATTAGTGTCTGTAACCCAGATCAGCAGCAGATCCTTTACTGCCCACTTTGGACCAGACTTCTTTGGTCCTCTAGCTCATTAATGTCCAACTCCAACCTTTGACTAAAACTAGTAAAATAAAACTAACACAGGCTCATAATATGTTTTACTCATTCAAAAACATTGAAACTACTTTGTAGCTAGAAGTTTAATCTTACAATGTATTCCACTGGTTAATGGAGATCCACAGCAAATGTGCCCTTTTTGTCGGAAAAAAAATGTTCAACCACGCCATAAATTATATTTTATTTATATATTTGGAGGAATTTTCAGGGTTTGATCAAATAGGACAGAAATATGCAACATTTAACAAGACACAACAGTTCAACAAGTTTTTGATGCCCTCGGTGACTGGTATGTTTGGAATATACTGCCTCATGATGGCAAAAAGTGTCATAACAGCCAAAATTTGACATTATGGGTGTGAAATGAATCAAGTCTCAGTAAATAGAGGCTGAACTGTGTCTTAGGCAGCCATGATTACAGGTTACAAAACCGGCAAACAGAGAAAGCAGCAAATGAATCACATTCACAGTGCATAGGTGTGAAATATGGCACAAAACGACTCGAACCGCGTCCAGAAACGTTTCCCTTTTAAGGCATGAAATGAGCGAAGAGGTGTCTACTGCTGGATTTATCACAGTTAAGAGTCTTTGACATCACAAAGACACGAACATCAAGACAACTGATATATTTCAGAGACGCTACACTGATTGGTGACGAACGCAATATGAAGAGACACACAGCAGCGGCAGAAACAAGCAAAACACAGACAATCAACAAATCCTCAAGGTTTCATTCATCTTTTTGCATTTTCCATTACTTTATTCCTATTAGAACACAATCAATGGGTAATAAACTCTGAATAAATCAATCTAAAGGGGCAGTGAGTTGATTAAATATTGCTTTCCTCTGAAAAATGGGCCAACTGTGAAGGTTTCACATAATCTGTTGGCTTCGATGGCTTCAAATGTTGATTTTTATAACTGAATGTGCAAAACAGATAAATATGAAGACATTTTTACTCCTAATGTACAAAGTCTTAAACACTTAAGCTTATGTGAGTTCATGACAATTAATTAGAAAAGACTAAATCTTTATTCTCTTTTAAATGGCTTTAAGAGACACACTTCCACATTGCACTCTATAATAATAAGATAGTAAAATGTTTAAAATATATTTAAAGTTTTAATAGGAAACCTGGAGGGTGGGTTAGAGGATCCAGCTATGGAGTGAGTTTCATTCCATTATTATTGAAAAGAATATGTTTTTTTAAATAGAAATCAAACTTTGAAAAAGTAATTTTTTCTCGTTTCTTTTTCAAACTTTATGTTTTCTACAGACTTTATTTTAACAAATCTTAATATTTTATTTCTCTTCACCTTCAAAGGGGGTGGGAGTGAGGAGCTTAGATGCATTTCTATTGGTCGTTAGCGACAACATATTTATTGAAGAAGAGGAAATGTTTGTCTCGGGCTCGTAGTAATGAGAATGTGATCTGTAAAATTTGAAAAGAATGCAATTTGTAAAACTTTATCTCAAAAAATAAATAATTATGAAGTCATAAAATCTGATTTAAGAAAATTGAAAAACTAAAATATGAGAAAGTTTTTTTGTTTTTGTTTAGAAGATTAAAATTAATTAAATTAAACGCAATCATTTGTGGATTGCGTTTAATTTACTTCCAATAAAAAAAGTGTTTTTTGCAACAATAATGGAACAAAATTTACTCCATACATTCTGTGATTAACTACACATTTTTCTGCATGACATCAAAAAGTGTAATAAAAGAGGAAGGGATGTTTATGGTTTATGTAAACCATAAATGTTTATGTTTATTTAGATATTACAGGTCTCTGTTTTAAAAGTGCTAATTTAGTAGTTTTAATATTAAATAATGATATAAATATGACTGAAAATATTCTAAAAAATAAATCTCTGAGTTTGTGAAGGAAATAAATGTAATATTAAGATTTTTAATTAGTTAAATCTACGGTGGAGTTGACAGCTGATATACATTCATCCCCGACTTTAGTCTTTTTAAACTCTGATTGTCACGTGAGGAAATATTCCCATTCCTCTCACACGTGGGACTCATCCAGGTCCAGGTCAACGGGGGAGAGAGGGAGAGGAAACCGACGAGGGGAGCGTCGGGGCGACTTGGGCGAAAGCAAAGGGGCAAGGAGCGGGTTCTCGGTGCCTTCGTCCTCGCTGAGCCGTTGCAGGGCATCGCCACGGGGCAGCAGCGCCGTCGTGTCCTCGTCCCCGGGGCTCTCTCTGATGCTGGGCGGCAGAGGCGGCGGTGGAGGGGGGCCTGGGGAGGGGGCCGCACTCAGCACTGGGAGCGGAGGGGGGAGAGGGGAAGAGGTGCGAGATAGAGGGAGAGGGGAGCAGGTACGGGAGGGGGGCGTGGGGGTGGAAGGTCGGGAGAAGGAGGGGGGAGGGGAGAGGCTGCTGCGGAGCCCCCACTGTTCCCTCCTCTCCTTGCTGCTCATGGCTGAAGGGACCTGAAGGGGTGAATAAAACAGCATCCTGTTATCAGCACAGAGCAAAACTGCTGATTACCTCCTACTAACTCACTGGGTCCACCTAGTGGGGACGCAGGGTAAATGCAAGGGGATCCGCAAAGAATTATTTGAATCTATGAACACATAAATATACATCTTATAGTAAATAAACACCTAAACAAATGACAAAATACACCAAAAGATATGTTTTTTGTGCTTTTTATTTATTTGACAAAATATAATAAAAGATAAATATAATACTAAATTTAACTTTAAAATTAAAATAAAGAAGTAGAATTTAATTTGTGGTGAAATTGTTTAGATGATTGATTTAAATTAATTGAAAATCTTTACAACTTAAAAAAAAAAGATGTAAAATAAAAGTGACATAATTCAAGTCCTATTTTAAAACTAATCAAAACAACAATTATAATAAATCAAATATTTAAATGAAAAAAAAATACAAATTTAGGAAAACGCTGTATTTTATTTTTAGAAAAGTATTTCTAGAAATTTTTCTTATTTATAAAATAAAGATATTTATTAAAAAAAAAATTAAGCTCAAGACACAAAACATCTCCATATTACAAATAATGTTGATAGAAGGATAAATTATTAAGGATAAAAAATCTTATTATACTTAATCAAAAAATCCAAAATGAAAAAAGTCAAACTTTAGAAAATGAAAACAAAACAAGAAAAGTAATCCTCACTAACATTAAAAATATATAAACGTCACTATGACAAAATTTCTTTTAAACACTTAAGGTCAAAGTTACAATGTTTTTATTAAAATGACACAAAAAAAGAATAGAATAGTCTAGAATAGTGTAGAATAAACATATAAACTTTACTGTAAAAAAAAAATACAAATAAGAATAGAAATAAATTTAAAACTTTTCAAACATAGATGAACTTTTAGAGGTGAGTAGCATTCAGATTTACTCAGTAACCTTTCGTTGAACATTTACTTTTAGAAATCGTTTTATTGCACCCTCCTTTCTACTTTATTTTAAATTCCTATGAATACATTTTTTTTAATCAATTTCTTGAGTACTTTGAGTAGGCTTACTGAGTGAAGAAAACTGACATTTGAACCTCAAATCCACCAAATAAAGTGATAGTTTAAGTTCAGCTAAAATCCGTATTTTTTTTAATATTCATGCTTTGTTGCCTTAGCCTTACTGCTAAGCCCTTAGCTTTACCGCTAAGCCCTTAGCTTGGTTAATAAACATGCAATAATATCGATCTTTCACTTCTTAGTATCGATTTAAAAAAAAATGGTTAAATAAAACATTGATGGGAAAATGGGCTACCTCTGCACCACCACTCTGGCAGAAAGCGCTGTGGAGCCCTTTAACTGTGCGTGCAGCACCAAATCTGTATTTGAGGCAGTCACAGTGGAAGGAGACCCCAAACAACATGGATAATAATACCTAATCAATATTTTCTGATGAAAATATACAGCACTTGCTGTTTTATCGCATCATTTGATTTTGATGGCTGGGGGAAATATGGCAATATATAGTGATACTGCAATATCGTGATAATATCGTATCGTGACCCAAGTATCGCGACATGTATCGAATCGCAACACTCATGCCAATACTCACCTCTAATCCATAATAGTAATGACAATCTGACAGGCTAGGTAAAGAAGTGAACACAAAAAGCGAGGATGTCTGTGTTTAAAGCAGTTTAGCTTTAAATTTTGTTTACCTCGGACTAAAACGTTTTGTTTATTTCATCACGCATGAATAAACTAGCCTACTTGACTTTTGGTATGCTTTTCTACTAAGGTTGTCTGTTTACCTTCAACTACAACCTTTTGTTTATCATATGATGCATAAATAAAGTAGCCAAGTAGACTTCCTGTATCTTATTCTCTTAAATTTGTGCCGACTCCACAGTTATAGAGCATTCGTATTGACTATGAGTATGCTGATCTGATAGAACACTGGCATACAGAGCAGAAGGAAGAGGCGGGTGAGCTCAGGTACGCCCGCTAGTGGCTGGGAGGAGTTAAACTCATACCCTTCCATGTTACATCAAGCATAATATCTAGAAATATGTACTATATGTATGTCAAAAATTATTAGACAACATTTAATCTTCCTTTGGAATCATTAGAATATTTTTTAATTAGTATTTAATCTGCCTGTATCAAAATGCTCATTATTTTAATCGCGTTTATTCCATTTGCAGGATTATAACAGATCGATGTTATCAAACCTTGATTTTATTGCCTTGTTGTAAATGTGTCAAACAGTGGAAGCTTTCAAGAAAACTTAAATTAGCGATCAAATGTGAGAAAAAAATCTATTGTTTACTATTAGAGTTTATTTTTTATGTTTAATTGCTTTCCCTGACCATAAACCCATTTCTAATGCATAACTTTGGATCTTATTGGTCAAAATTGGCCTTTTTTAAATTTTTTTTTATTTTTATTGAAGCATCCTACCTGTGTGTTTGCAGGCCCATGCAGATCAGCTTTGATGGTAGCCGTGGTAACAGAGGGCACTTCCAGTGTGGGGGACTTTGATGGTGCTGGGCTTGACTTCCTGCTTTCACCTGGAGGTTCTGCAGTACTGGGAGACGCCTGCTGGCCTTGAGTCTCCGTAAAGGTCACAGACCTCTTCTGGTCTCCATGTGCTGTAAACACACACACACACACTGGGTTAAAATCGATTTAAAAAAATCAGAATCAGCAGCAAGCTTCTCGCTAACACATCAGCATCACCAAATTTCGTGGAGGTTCAGTGGAAGGACAGGGGGTGGGAAGTAGGGTACTGGGTGGGGAAGCAAGACAGACATGCAGAGCGTCCTATTGGGTGAGGTTGCAGATAAAGAAAAAAAAAGGGGGGAGGCAGGGAAGGGGGCGGGCTATTGCAGGGTGGAGGGTTAACGATTGTGTCTCACCTTCACAGTCCAATAAAGTTTCTTTATATCGAAACATAAAAGCATGAGACAGAACAAAGTGACAAGAGTCAGTCTGGTGGCAAGTGGTAGAACATACAGCTCTGGGACAAAGACAGAGGTTCAGACGGGGGGGGAGTGGGGGGGTAGGGTTGGGTGCTGGGGCTCTATACAGGATGTTCAAATGGGAGGTTTGAGAAGAGAGTTTGGGTGACTCGGACCGATCCGCCCTGTCTTTGTCGTGTCATCTATGCACAGAGAAACACAGAGAGCGCGGCGTTACCCAGAGGTTTGTTTTTAGGCTGGATGCTCCTTCGAGTCGTGGAGAGGCGAGCTCCAGAACGACCTCGCGGCTCAGTCTTTGGAATGGACAGCAGTGGGCGCCGCAGCTGTAAAACACCAATGACAAATGTGTTTATTGTCACTGTACTCAATCCTTTTAGATCATTGCCCGGAGGACACCATAACTTCTAGAAACATGAATCTGTTATAATCTGTTTGTGAAATATTTTTCTATGCTGGTTGGTTGTCCAACACGAAAAGATAGAAAACTTCAAATTGATCAACTCCAGCATCCGTCACAGATGTTGCCTTGCTGTAATCACCATAATCCTTCCTGCCGCACTGCTAGTAGGGTTTCCGTGACATCGCTTTGCATTACAGCGCTTTTATAACGCACCTCTTGATAGGAATTACATGTTCATCAATCACTCCAGTTGCTAGAATTGACCTTAGACATTAGACGTTTAAGCTAACTTTTTTAGTTTATCCTTTCCAGGCAGATGTTGCAAATTTGCAACAGCTAAATACCACTTAGCTAATTACTTCACATCCATATTTTAAGAGCTTTTGTTACTCAGAAGTACGACAGAAGGACTTAGTTGTGCATTTGCAACAAACAGTTTCTCTCAGATGGTACTGCTGACTCACTTTCAACATGGCTGAGTCATTGGTGTCACTGAAACAGATTTTCTAAGCATCAATTTCATGTAAGTATCACTACCAATTTCCATTATTTTGAAATCAATACTACATAAGATGAATCATGAATGTTTATAGATATGACACATGCCAATTAGTAGATTTGATCTCCTCTGGGTTTTTCACCAGAGGCATCTCGATTTCAATGTTGTGGATTCGCAACGTGTACCCAAACAGGTACCAATGGATGCTACATGCTTTATCAACAAGTTTGCCTATATTTTGAGTTTAACAGTAACGGCCTTCTCAAGAGGTTTTGAGATGTCGGTGGAGAAAAAGTTTATGAACAAGTTTTCTCTAATTTTGTGTGAAAATTTTTTTTCCCGCATTTTGTTTTGTTAATTTTTTGTTTGTGATATTCAAATAAAGTTAACGTTCATATCAGATTCAGTCTTCAGTGTTAATTTACCATTCTGGGCCACTTTTGCAAATCTGCAATTTCCCAGAATTCATTGCATGTGAAGGTCTCACTCAAGAAAAAGTCTGAATTGTATATTACTGCCCCATATAATAATTTTCTCAAAATATCAGATTTTTCCTGCAACTACAACTTAATTTGAGCCTGAGAGGGTTAATTTAAAAATCCTGATTTGAGCAGAAATCATAGAGGTCTACGTCACATCATTGTTCCCTGATTGCAGAAAGGATTCGTTAGTGGTGGCGCAGCGTGGTTAAAGTAGGTGCTTCCTTGCTTTTGTTCATGACCTCATTTTACATAAGGGGAGGGGCTGTTACTCAAACAGCAGAGGTTATGATCATTATCCATCATGATTACTCAGATAATGGTTAATAAAAGTAAAATAAATGAAATGAGCTTGCTTTCAATACTTATTTCCCCTAATGAATTAAACTGTCTTTCAATGCGTAGTAACATTTTATTTGAGATGATAAGCTTGTATGGCGAATTGTAACATTGTTTTTCCCCAAAAGTTATTTTTTAAAGTTGAATGAAAGTTGCCATTAGTTGTCTAAAGAAAAAATTGGGCCCAATACTTACAATTTTACCTGATATTTACATCCGATTTTGATCTTCCTATTATGTCGAGTAACCATCGTTATGGCCCAATCCCAAACTGCTAACGACTGACACTTAAACATCAAGTCTCACTCGCAATAAAGTCACACTAGCAGCTGTGGAAGGAGCCTTCATTAAAGGTGGGGGGGGGGGTATAAGCGAGAATGGGATGGCCTCTTCCCTTCAACAGAAAAAGAAAGGAGTCGTTGCTAAGGCAACACAGTAAGGACCCATGTAGCTGTGTGGCGCATGGTGACATAAAATATAACATTTGCCTCTTTCTTAAAACAAATGTATACGGTCAAATAAAACTATTTCAAAGTGGAACATACCTTTGGAATTAATTACGTTTTTTTCTTATACCTAACTTTTGATTTTTCGTCAGTGTGATGAAGATGCAGCAAACAGCTACTGCTGAATTCCACTCGCCCTACCCACTACATGGTTTGGGACAGTACTTAATGTGGCGCACCCTCCGCGGAAACGCGCAAACTGAGGGATAGCGATTAGGGGCCGGTTTGGGACGAAATCTGTTTCACTATCCTTTGAGCCTGCAATATAAATTAGTATACGAAAGCTAGCTTCTATGACTACTCTTATATAACCAAAATTGAGTGCTAGTGTTAGGATTCCAGTTTGTGGGGTTTGTTTATTTTCTTTGGCAGTTCCACTGTGCACCCACTAGATGGTGCTATTGTCCTCTGCTGGTCTGGAGGGGTTCCTGTTCTTCTCAGCTCACACCTGCAGCCTATTGGGTCATTATTTCCTGAGGAGTATTTAAGGAGCAGACTGTCTTCACGTCCTCGCCAGAGTGTTTGCCAGTATTGGGTACTCTAGCCCCTCTGAGTTTACAGAGTCAACCGTGAGTCCTAGTTTCTTCTGAGCTCTTTCAGCGCTTACGCTCAAGTCTTGGAAGGGAAACACTCGTCACACTGAGAAAAGGAGACAGATCTCCTCATCTGCACGCCGAGCACTTCAGGAACCAAGTGTCAGGCAGTCTGCTCAGCTGCTCCTCAGGATCTCCATAGTCTGCCTGTCCGCCATCCAACGAACTAAACCGTCTACAGACCAAGCCTCCACAAATCTCACAAATCTCAGAAACCCTCCCCAACAACCACTGTGTGTCCAAGTTACCTTGTATTCAGACAATCGGCTAGATTTCGCATAGTCCTTGAACTCACCCCTCTGATCTCCTCCTAGAGCTCACCTGAGTTCACCTGACCGCAGGAATCGCCCCAAGCTGAAGAACTGTTTTTCCTATCTCTGCACAGTTATCTTTCAATAAACTGTTAAAACTTTCTCGGTCTCTGTGAGTGCTTCTGCATGTGGGTCAAATATATTCGACCCGCCATGACAGTTAGAAGAAATCAGTAAAAGTCTTTAGTTATTAAAACAAGGACAAAAAGCCCTGATATTTTAGTTAAAGTGTACCTCACCCTGAATTTTTAAGATAAACCCACTTGCTGACAAATTTTAGGTGTGCGGAGGCAGCTAGCTTAGCTTAGCCATACGAAGCTAAGACGTCAATAGATGTTTGGAGGATTTTCACAGCTATGGAAGTATATGTTTGAGTGAGTTGCTTTTATTTACCATAACATGTGGATATTTCAATGTATCCGCACGTACCGTTTAATCCAGTAACAGCATTTAACTGTAACCTTGGCAACATTGAGTCGGGTTTGCGATTAATTTGAGATAAACTAAAAACACCTTACAGATATAAACAGACATTAAAATAGCACTCCATGAATGTATGGGGGGATTTTGTTCCATTATTGATGCCAGCAAAAAAAAAAAAAAAAGACATTTTGAAAAATTAAATTTGAAAGAAAAAAAATAAAAAGCAGAAATTAAACTTTGAGAAACATTTTATTAAAAAAAATAAATAAGTAACTTACTTAGTAATTTATCACATTTTGTTATTTAAAATATATATATATATAAAAAAATAATTTTATTCATATTATCTTTTTACAAAATATATGTTTTATTTAGATTTTATATATTTACAAATTTGTTTTTTTTTTACATTTTAAACTGTTGGTTTCCAAAATTGTTTTATTAGTATATATTATAATTTTATTATTTTTTTTTAAATTTCTGGGTGACTCCAGATTGGGTTTTACTCATCACATTTTCTTCATTTCAAACCCAAAGCAAACAGTGTCCATACAGACCAATGGAAATGTGTTTTCACTCCTAACTCCAGAGGAAAGCCAATCCCCAGCAGCAAGGAGAAGGTAATCAGTAAACTACAATTTAAAAGAAAGGAAATTTGTAAAACTCAATCTGAACAATAGAAATTTGAAAAAATTTTTTTACTAAAATAATCAATTGTAAATACAAAAACGGTAAAAAATAAATAAATAAATAACAAAACAATATTTGTAAACATAAAATGTAAAAAAATAAATAAATATGACACTTATTTTGGAAAAACAAAATCTGAAAATTTAGTCTGGGAACTTTTTTTCTGATGGGAGCAGTTTTTCAAATTCATTTATGTATTGAATTTGTTTTTCAAATGTAGGCTTACAACAATAGTGGAACAATATCCACTCCATATAACCAAATGTATGCAATTTAAATCCAAAAAAACTTGGATTATGGGGTGAGTTACACTTTAAGTTAGTGAGTAATCACCTTAAAGTGCCTACTGTGATATTTATGGAACAATCAAAATCTCAAAATGTCTAAGAAATATTATATTTCATGGCAAAAAAAAAAACAAATTTTAAAACTTTTTGACAAAGATTGACAGATTTTTTGAGTTCAATTTTTACTGAACCAAGTCCAATGTGTTGACTTCCATACCTGTCTGAGTCCACGTTTTCTTCCTAACGGGGCCTGGAGTAGAAGGTTCTGTTGTCCAGGTTCACTTTGAACGCTTGCAACCCTGGTTCCAGTCAATCGGATCGTCGCATATGTATATGTCATTCACGCACACACGCACAAACAAATGTGGGAAACACACAAAAATACATCAGTGTGATTGACCCAAATAGACACCGCAGCACCATCAGTGCTCGCTCACCGAACCCACCTTTGATTACAACAAGATGCTGCTGCTAAACTACTCATCACAACACACACAGTATGCTACAGAACAACAAAATCACATGTGCAGAAAAATAAACAAGTGCTGCTATGCTTTAGACGCCAAATAACACAACAGGGGGGTAGTAGGGGCTGAAGCAGCAACACTTTTTTCATTATGTATTTCATATAATTCATTTAACATATCAGCAAGAAATTTTCCCATTTTCTTTTTTAAAAAGTTGCACAAAAAGGTACTAAAACTATTGTTATTGAGTTGTTGCCACCCCAGTTCCCCCTTTGCCCCTACAGATTGGTATCCCAAACAGGACGCCCAATTTGATCAGCAAGAAGCCTGAGAGACATGTAAACAGTATGAGACACCATGGCATTATGATGGCACATCGACTGGAAAAGACCCACAGCTGACAGGAGGATCAGGGCTCCTGGATCCCATTTGGGGGGGCCCTTTAGGTTTAGGGAGCGAGAGGGAAGGGGGCCTGGTTAGAATAGCACACCAGATGAGCTGAAAAGATGAGGGTCAGTGTGGAGTTTAAAAACAGGGGAGGGGAGGGGGAGAAACAAGAAACGCTGGACCCACATAGAAAGAAGAGACAGGTGAGTAGAGAAGTGGAGGGGGGGGTGAAGTGGGCCAAGGCGATTTGACTAGATGTGGATGAGTGATCGACGGCCAGCAGAGGAGGCTGTCCCAAAGCCATGCCCCCTCTCAGTGGCGGACGGATGCAAAGATTGCACCAATGGGACACACACAAAGATTGGGCCACTGTACCTAGAGAGGTTACCCTCCTGCAGAAGGCCCTGGGACTCATCTAGCACATTTGGTTCACTGTAAAAAGGGGGGAGGGAGGGGGGGAGAGTGGCAGTTTAGGGAGTGTACTTGAGATCCATCACCAACCCAGGGCCCCCTTTGTGTCTAGGATGTAAAGGTGGGGGGCGTTTTGCTCTGAAAAGAACCAAAGCTGGAGCAGGTGTTTAAATTATGGCCTGAATAGAAGTCAAGGAGCAGCTTCATTCTTTAAAAAACAATAAAAGGGTTAAAAAATTACAGATATATACACAGAAAAATATGACTGTGGTTGTGGGATATGGTTGGGTTATAATCCTGCATGTCAGAATCTACATTTCAAACACAAATAGCGTAAAACATATTTCTTTATTTTTTTTCCTATGATTCAACATCATACGTTTTTTACTACTGCCTATTAAAGGGATGTATAATAGTACGACGGAGTATTAGGGCCAGGCTAGAGATTTTTTTCTTCTATTTCGAGAATAAAGTCATAATATTACGAGAATAAAGTCGTAACATTACGAGAAAAAAGTCGCAACGAGAATAGTCAAAATTACGAGAATAAAGTCATAAAATTACAAGAATTGTCGTAATATTACGAGACTAAAGTCGTAATGTTAAGAGAAAAAATTCTTAAAATTATGAGAAACAAGTTGTATTTTATGACAACTCCAACAAGACGCACTTCTTCACTAAAATGAAGAATGTCGAGCATCGTGAGAAGTTATACTTTGGCTCTAGTTTGACAAATAAGGAAATCTTTTAACACACCAGCATCAAAATTGGGCAGAATGTGGTGGTGCTGGTCGGACAGAGCTCGAAGCTTTCTTTCTGAAACAAGTTGTTGTATATGATGACTTCATTCTCGTAATATTACAACTATATTCTCGTAATGTTTCGACTTTATTCTCATAATGTTATGACTTTATTCTCGTAATGTTATGACTTTATTTCATAATATTACGACTTTATTTCGTAAAAATTTGGACTTTATTCTCGTCATGTTACATTATTCTCGTAATGATACAACGTTATTCTTGTAATGTTATGGCTTCATTCTTGCAATATTACAACTTTTTTCTCGTAATGTTACGATTTGATTCTCAAAGTAAAAAATTTAAAAAAATATCTAACCTGGCCCTAGTACTCCATCGTTAAATAGTATACAAACAATCATAAGTAACGTAGAAAGGAAAAGAGAATGTTTTTTTTTTAACAATTACCTATTAGAGAGTGTCGTGTACGATTTGCATCTATTAGAGAATCAATGTAATCAGATAATTCCCTTTGGTGTTCCTCAGGGATCTACACTTATCCCCCTGCGATTTTAGATTTAAATAATACATCCAACACCTGTGTTCCTCCCTTCATGCCTTTTTAACTTTTTCAAAGTCTTAATGTAAATTATACATATATAAATATCTCAATGCCAATGTATTTTATTTGACACATAAACTCTATGTATACTCTAGCATCTACAATACTAGCAGTCCATTAGCATGCCGATGCAGATACATTGTTGAAAATATCTTAATATAATATCGAAATAAAAATCTTGAAATGTTTTATTAAACTATATTTGACAACGGAGGAAACAAGTGCGTTTTAAATTAAACAATAAAACACTTAAGTTAAGACCATATCAATGTTTTATAAAAATTACTTAAAACTTAAACAATTACCCGAATGCTTTGTGTAAGCTACGTAAATTTACTTAAAAGTGACAAAAATTGTAACTAAACCACACCCTATCGATCAGTTGCCTGATTGAAAATAGCATTGTTATGCTAAAAGAAAAATGCTATGTTAACATTGTGGAATCCCACAAGGATGTATTTTTGGACTCGAGTTGTTTCTGGTATGGATTTACAACCTAAAAGGCCAATATATAAAAGATGTATAGAAACCTTTAATAACAAATGAGGACGCTTCCTGTTCTTATCCTCAATTGCATTAAGTTAACCAATAAAAAAGAGAAAATGGCTACATTTCACACACTGAACATGTCTATAGTGTGTTTATTTGCTAGGATAATACCTTTGACTGGGCAGCATGGTGGTGCGGGGATTCTCAGGCTGCAAGGTTGCAGAGCCAGTAGCGTGGCTGGAGAAACGCCGCTGAGACATTACCCGCGGCAGGAAAGCCTCATGCTCGCTCACAACGCTGGGAATACTGATGGAGTCATCTACGGTACATTGGGACAGCAAGATGTCTGGTTTAAAAACTTGTAAGACAACAACAAATAATTCATAAGTAGGAGTGGTAATTTTTTGTCAAATTAATGTTAAAACACAAGTGATGATTGTTCCAGAAATAATCAAGGCCAAACATAAATCAAAAGCAGTTTCTCTGACTCTCTTCGTCGTCCTCGTCAGTGCGGCTGAGTGTATCCTGTGATGGTTGGCGCGATGGCTGGCTATCCTGCTCCCAAACTGTGCCGGTGCCCGTATTGGAGCGTGACATGGTGGCCAGACTGAGCCGGTACGCAGATGTAGAGGTCCCAACAGTGCTGATGGAGGTCTTTCCTTGGTACGCTTTTGGAATTGAGAACAAATACAAGTTAATTGACCAAATTGATAGGCTTTGAGTGAAGAGATGTATAACACCTTAACTATCTAACCAGAGCCACTGTGTACAGCCTCTTTGAGGATCTTGAGTTCATTGTTGAACTCTGCAAAGAGTGAGCTCTTGCAGAGAGGTCTTGGGATGAAGCGTCGCTCTAGCTGGTCAGCAATGTGGTGGCGCGCTGTAATCTCCTCCTGGGAGTCAGCTGGTTGGGTCAGCAACTACAAAACATGTCAAATATTGGCAACCAGTCAATGGAATACCCCAAAGAATGTCTTGTCTGTAAACATCTGAAGATTAACAGACATTAGCCAAAAACTGATGGATTGATGATGTTGCACAGTAAGACATGATATTAAATTTGGACACTGGGGATCTCCGAAAATCTAACCTCTACCCACTCTCTACAAAAACACACATCACAGAGACATATGCTAGCTATGAGATCCATTGACTGAAAACCAAACCTAAGTAAAGAAGGTAGGTAGTCCTTAACTTTAAATATTCCCCTCAGGGCAATCACAGAGGGTAAGAAACTGTTATCCAAACAGTTATTGAATTCTGATTGAGGAAAATCTTTTTATGATATTATTTTACCAATTATGATAAATTTACCTCTTGGATTTGTATTGTGAATTTGTTTGACCACATTATTTCAATTGCTCCATTTTAGCTGAAAAGCTAATTGGATGTTTGAGAGCTAATGTTTATGTTGAAGAGTTTGGAAAGAGGTCAAATTAGTTTAAAATTAATCTAAAGAAATTTTAATGTGTTCAAATCAATTTCTAATGCAAATCCAAAGAGGTAAAGAAAACATTATATGCTAGAATATAATTTCATTGAATGATTTGCCTAAATAGAAATCAATAACCCTCTGTCATTGTTCCTGAGGGAAAACTTTAGGGAAGGACCACCTACTTCATTAGCTAGGTCAAGAAACAATGGAGCTAGTAGCTAGCAGAAATGGAGGGACTTTGGCTACGTTTACACTTCAGCCTGAAGTGACCCAAATCTGATTTTTTTTTGGCCCATATGTGACCTGGATACGATCTTTTCATTTCAGTCTAAACAACACAAATCTGAGTTTTTCCGATGCGACCCAGGCCACTTGACTACATCAATCCGATACGAATCAGAGCTTTTCAAATGCGACCTGTGTCTGAACGGCCAGATCGCATTCATCCGACCTGAACGGCATTAAAACCTGACAAAGGTCACTATTCTGGGTCTTGCTATGAAGAAGCTGCAAGAAAAACAACAACCATGGCAGATGATGATGCGGAGAGCAGTATTTATGTTTAACCATCTTGAAAAGATTGAGGTTTTATGGTTGGGAAAGATCGCTAGATGCACTCCGGCAGTACCATCCATGTTTACTTCAGTAAACACAGCACACGCTGGCCTGTGACGTCATTGCATCCTCGACTGCGCATGTGGGACACTTTGGTTGTATGACTCCAGTGAACACATAAGATCACATACAAGTCGCATATATTTGGAAATGTGTACGGCAATGCAAAAATTTCATTTAATAAAAAAATCGGAATTAAGCATTAAGGCCTGCAGTGTGAACGTAGCCTAAATTTCACTACGGCTTTAAGCACTTTTGTGTTATGTGTTTCCTGATATGCTAATTACGTTTTATTGCAAACATATCACCAACAATTTCCTTTAAATTAAGTTTGTTTTAGCTTTATAAATAACAGCTCAAGACATGTAAGCATTTGGGAGCTTGTGATCACCATTAGCTGCTTCTTCTAAAGACTGATTTATACTCAGAAACCAGGTCCCTGATTGTGTGTCGTAGTGAATGCAAAATGCCCCTACCGTAAACACTCTGGTGCACCTCTCCAAAATTGTAGTTGACCGCAGAGAGTGCTGCAGACAGGAGGCCTCTGATTGGTCAAATCTACATCTGCTCTGCACTATGCGTATATCCTGTTTGGTACCTTACCTGCTTGTTTTGTTTTTATGACCGCCATTGTGGAAAAAGACTCGTGAAGATAGACCAGCAAGAAGAGCGAGGTGCGCGAGAATTCTGGGACTCTTTTTCCACCTGGATCCCCGCTCTTTTTGGCCCTCATGTCTCTCCATTGTCACACAAATTTGCCCGCAATTCCTCACCGCCTCGGCCGTATCTAGACCCACAGCTAGTTCCTGATTGTCCCTCTTGTGTTGTGGCGTGGAATAACATAGCTCAGACAGAGCTTCAAAATTCTGCATAAATCAAAAATATCTGCGACAAACACACTGCAACTCACTGCTGCAGGGAGTATAACCAGCCCTTAAGCTTGCTTTATACAACAGTAAACACGTGAAAGGATCCAGATTCATCCAAAACTCAAAATGTTCAGACCTGCAACATCTGTTGGATCTGCTTTGGAAAGGAGAGTTTCTAACTTTCAAGAAAGCTTAGGCCATACGGTGTTGGATTGGTCCAAGTCTCCTATTGACGATAAAGTGTTACAGTCTGTTTTGTTATTCTACAGGGTAAATGGAATCCTTATTCTACATTCAGAGCTAACTGACCATGTTGGGTGTGTGTTCACGGAACAACAAATAACAGTCCAAATGCTATATTTTTAAATAACATTAAGTTACAACAGCATTTGATTGCATTGTTGGGTGCTTACCTTACATTGTATGAAGGGTCTCAGGAGAACGAAAATAGGGATGCGGGTCCGCACAATGAAGTCGATGAAGTCCCAGAAAGCCAAACCTCCCACCTTCCTCAGAGCCATCTCTTTCACCTGCAGGCTCAGACGATACCACTGGTTTCCCAAAGAACGTTCGAAGCAAACCAGCACCACCTTCAGAGCTACAGGAAGTGGAGTCGGATAAGCCAAATAATTTAATTATAAACCCAAAAAAGGTTTTCATGATGTTGTCTTACCCAGATATGCCGCCTGGCTAGTGGACTCGGCTAATCCCTCTCTACGCAGATCCTTTCCCGTGTCTCCAGGCGTAGAGCAGTGAGCCGGCGAAGCGTCCAACATAAAGTTCTTGGTGCGGGAGGTGGAGATGATCCGAGGGGGTAGCAGGATGTTGATGACAGTCTGAAGGAGAAGGAAGATCTCTGGCTGCTCAAGGTGGGGGCTATCTGCAAAAGGAGGAAAAAAAGCAAAACCTATGCATTAGGATTATTTTACTATTCACGTATGTGCTTGTTAAACCCTAATATTACCTGCCTGTTATCTGTGAAGACTAATTCTCTTCCGAGCAAGAGAAAGAAATGGGAGCACAAGGACAGGGTGGATTATACTTCTGCAACCGTACACGTCAAATGTTGCTTGCGTCTGGTCGCAAACCAGTTTTGCTGGTATGCTTCTGCACCATCGGTCTGGAATTTTTTGGGACGCACAGTAGTTTTCCATCAAAGCACAAGGGGGAGCCTATTCGGGAACCCGCGAGAACTTCGGCGGATGGTCACGAGAAGTTCTTCGGCGGCGCCGGCGGGAGTGTTTATTTTCCAAAACAACATGTCTGAGGCATCGCACAAGTGGCTGTACTTCCGAACCTCCTCGATCAACCTTTCTTCGCGGTTATCCATTGCTTTTATTACTCCTCGGTTTTTAAAAATGGTGTGCCCCGGCTTTGAATCAAGAAGGACGACCACATAGACAGCCGGAAAGGCATACCAAGGACCAATCACAGCTGCTTTTTGTCTGCACACATCCGCTTGAGGTCTGCACGGGTTTGCGACGGTCTGACATATAGTCAGGATTATTTTGAGGTGCGCGACGATGGTTGCAGAGCCTCAGCACGGGGTGCATGGTCGCGCATATAGACAGATTTGACGGTTCCAGAGGCTATGCGTCAGAAGTATAAATTGGCCTTTAGTCTTAACAGAGAGCTCTGTCATTACGCATTTGAATTCAGACAACATTGTGTATTATTATGGCTGGATCCAGTGAAGTCTCCACATGTACAGACACGGACATCCCAAGTCTCCCGGAAGTTCTGTGAGTCTCTGTTTTGAGAATCTGTTTTGAGAAGCGTGCAGACAATACAATAATTCCCACACCATATGCGGATTAGAACTACTTCAAATGCGAAGTAGGCACAGCAAGAGAGAGGGGGGTGTGGGGAGGAGGTTGCTTGTGAAACCTGTGCGTATCTGTCCAAAGGGATGCTCTGTTCAACAGCCGTCCAGGCGACTGGGTGTCAAAAAGTGCGCTGATTGGATTAGTCAGAAAAATAAGCCAATAAGTTTTGGTTTCCTCTCTGACAGGCAGCTATGCATCCTGTGAAATAGCAGAGGTTGTTTTTGAAACTTTGAAACTTTGGATGTCTGCAAACATATCTATGATGAAATGATATGATGATGAGGCTGGGTGTGATACTGGAGTTGTATGAAATGCTTTAACTGTTAGTCGAGGCAGCTGCTGACTCTCTGGTCTGATTGAGATTACAATTCTGTAAAGCCTGTTGTCCTGTTTTCTACTCATTTAATACATAAACCTTATAAAGTGTTAAAGTGTTTGTTCCGAATGATCTCCTCTCAGGAAAGAATTGGGTAGAGAAAGCTTAAAGGTTTAAACACAGAGCTTTCCTTTATAAATTGGTGTTTCCAGCCTGACCTGAATGTGGAGAGCCACTGACGGACAAACCTTATAGCTGCAGCCGCATAAGCAGAGGTTAGGAGATTCCTTTTTTCCAAATATCTCCAGTGCTTTGGGGTTGGTTCTCTGGATTCAAGACACTCAACCCCCCACACAGTCCCTCAGTTGCTGCACAATGGCAGCCCACAGCTCCCAAAGCGGATAGGTTAAATGCAGACAGTTAATTTCGTTGCTTTCTACTTGTGACAGTGTAATGAAAATAAAGTTGAATTGTAATTCAATATTTAGTTACTTCATTTGATTCAAAGATACTCTAACACATTCTTCCAGTTGCCTTTTAGTTAACTCTTCATTGTGTAAAACACGTTTTTCTAAGTTTATTTTATTTGACCCTAAGTTATGTTTTGACTGCCAAGTAGAACATGGTACCTTATACTAGCTTAAAATACACTTTAACATAACATATGAGATACCACTACTTCTCCTCTAAACTTTGTATACAGTTAAACACAAATTAGCTAATATGTGTTATTATGCACAAAGTGTAGCTGTGTATCAAGTTAAATAGATTGTAACAGAGTTGAACGAATTATAACCTTTATTGGTGTTAGAATCATTAAAACAAACTAAACACTAAACACTAGATATGTATTATTTCATTATAAAATAATGAATGTACAATAAATTCATACTTAAAATTAAACTTGCAGCTTCCCCCTCCACACTGGAAAAATGATCTAAAAATAAGTAAAAATTTCTTAAATTGAGTGTATTTACCCTTAATTTGAGTAGATAAATGAGGTGGTTTGCCAGTGTAATTAATATATTTACTCTTAAAATAAGATAATTAGATAAAATGCACTTGAAATGAGACAATGCAAGTGTGTTTTCTTATTTTAAACGTAAATTGTCTTGTTCCATTGGCAAAATGTCACTTTCACCTCCTCAATCCAAGAACAAATGCACCTATTTTGAGAAAAAATTACTTATCTAGATTTTGATTTTTTTCAGTGCAGTCCTGTTATTCTATAAAAGGCTGCTTGTTGTAGTTTACCTCCTGAACAACATATACCCTATAATAACACCTAGAAATCTGGACAGAGGGGAATAGAAGTAAAACATGATTATTGATGAATGATCTCTATCTCTTCTTTTCTTTAATCTCTCTAATCTCAAACAATTATCCACTGGGGGGAGTGGATCAGCCTGGTGCAACATATACGGTACAATGAGATTGAGGTATTAATTAAAGAGGTCACAGACAACATGTTGACAAGAATCACTCCATAACAGAATGGTCAAATTAATATTTAGTTAAAACAAAAATAACCCAGTAGGAATGAAGTATTTTTACTCTTTCAAAATAAAAGTAGTGTCACCCTATATCATTAACTAATGCCATGTCATAGTGGCAACCTATAGGCTGATAAATTACCAAAGGGCCTCAAGAACATTTAAGTATTTGAAAATTAACGGTAATATGTCAGAATAAAAGGTGGTAATTGACCAAAATATTGTACAGTGTTGAAGGTAACTGAGGGAGTCATTTAAAAAGTGCAATTTTATCAATAATGCATGTATTTTTCTTTTATTTCTTTTATTTAGGTCAAACTAGACTGGTATTTTTTTTATTTAGCAGAAATAACTTGATGTTAATGGGTTTTGTTGTTTTTAGATGTATTTTATACTGTGGCTGAGAAGTGCAAAACACATTTACAATTCAAAAACACATTAACAAATAAAAAAACAAAATAACATTTAAAGGAAACAAAATTATATTTTATGAAACAAATGTATTTTTGAAAAAAAAGTTAAAATTTTCAAAAACACATTTACAATTCAGAAACACATTAACAAATAAAAATCAAAATAACATTTGAAGAAACAAAATTATATTTTATGAAACAAATGTATTTTTGAAAAAAAAGTTAAAATTTTCAAAAACACATTTACAATTCAAAAACACATTTACAATTCAAAAACACATTAACAAATAAAAAGCAAAATAACATTTGAAGAAACAAAATTATATTTTATGAAACAAATGTATTTTTGAAACAAAAGTTAAAATTTTAGCAAACAAATTTACATTTTAGGAAACAAAAATCAGTTTTGTCTTTGCACTTGTACAAGTGTTTCCTAACCGTCAATTTTTTTTATGTAAATTTGTTTCCCTATAATGTATTTTTTTTTTCTCTAAAATGAAACTTTCTCTCACCTAAAATCTAACTTATTTAAAATGTGAATTTGTTTCCTAAAATGTAAATTTGTTTGCTAAAATGTAAATTTGTTGTTAAAAATTGTAACTTTTTTTCAAAAATACATTTGTTTCATAAAATATAATTTTGTTTCTTCAAATGTTATTTTGTTTTTTATTTGTTAATGTGTTTTTGAATTGTAAATGTGTTTTGCACTTCTCAGCCACCGTAATTTTAAGATTAAATATGTCAGTGAGGAGATGTTTATTTGGATAGACACCACATAGAAATGTTGAAAATTGATATTTTTTTCATATATTTGGGTTTTATTTTGCATGGAAATATGGATATTCCGATTCCTCGTTCTTAAATAAATTACATTTTTGTGGTTTACTTTATGTGAAAATCTTTGAGGCGAGCCGGTTGGGTGTGTGGTGAGTTGGGTTCGGGGAGCAACCCTGAAGCACTTTGGCTGTATTGTTGGTTCTGAAGTGAGTTTTTTGCACCTTTAAAGGCGGAGAGAATACACAGAGAACTAATTTCAAGAGCAGATTATGCAAAAAAAAAACAAACAAACAAAAAAAAAAAAAACTCTGGTTTCACCCTGAAACTGGAGAGAAAAAGTTTGATTGAGAGAGGCGCGTTATTCTTACCTTTACTTCCAGAGCCCACAGTCAGAACAAAAGGAATAAGCAGATTAAGCAGCATCCCCTCTCGCCTCTCCTGATTGGTGAATGGCGAGATCACATGACTGAGAGGGAAGTCGTCCTTTAAGGCCTGAGAGGCAGCGAAAAGGAATCTAGTAAATTAAACATTTCTGAAGGTTAAGCTGGATTTCTAATAAGCCTGTCGTACCTGAATCTGAAGAGCGACAAGCCGGACAACGGCTGTGCTGAAAGGAAGGGGAGGAGAGAGGTATGGGCTGAGGTGGAGGAGGGGGAGTCCATCTGCTACACTGGAGGGACCAACCACACCCATCACCTGGTGACGAAAGGTAACCAGTAGTTATTTACATCAGATGTGATTACATCAAGGTTTTCTATGAGCATTTTGAAGTATCACATCTGACTATCTTAATGGAAACAGAATAATTATGGTGTAAATTTTGCTCCATTATTGTTTAAAGCATAAAAACATGTTTTGCAAATAGAAAAAAAAAAATTAAAAGTTACTCTCGAAAAAAGGTTTCAAGAGTAACTCTCTTATTTCTTTTTAAATTTTTTGCATATGATGTTCTCAGGATTTTTTTCTTTTACAAATTTCATGTACATGGAGCATTTGGCATAAACTAAAATGATTTCAATCTACACAAGTATTTAATTCATAAGACTAAATCTGAAAAATTAACATAAAAAAACAAAATATGTAAAAACAATATGAATAAAGATATAGGTTGGAAAAAAATTGCATTAAAAATATGAAGAAAAATTTATTTGAAAATGAAAAAAAGCAAAACCTTTTCATAAGTTAAATTGATCACTTCTTAACTGCACTTTTTTTTTATTTCCGTTTTAAAAAATGTGTTTTTTGCTTATAAAGATAAAAAACAAAATTCACTCCTTAGAAATCTAAAAAAAAGTCACTAAAAAGTTTTGAATTTTCAAAAAATAGTGAATAAATTAATGAAATGGAATTAAAGGAAATAGAAATACTCTTTTAAAGAGGTGAATTTACTAATAATGTCCTTCATTGTACATTTTTGTTGCTTTTTTGCCACATGAATAATTCCTTAATTACAACAAATAACACCTCATTTATAAATTATAATTCATAACACACATTAAATTGTACATTAAAGAAGAAAAGCATAAAAAAAACCTTTAACGTTTTTTCTTTAAGATGAGTATATTGATAAATAAACAATACAAGACACAATACATTGTGGCACACCTCAAGGGTGTATTCTTGGATCCTTGTGAATTCAAGAATTAAATTCAGAGAAAATATGACAAAAAAGACATAAATAATCAAACAGAAAAGAAACATACACTCTTATTAATTGTTAGCCAATTAGCAAACAAGCACAAATAGTCCCCCCCCCCTCCCCCTGTTTTTTAAAATCTGTTACAGTAATGTTAATATTGCAAATAAACTCAACCCAATTACCCACTATTGCTTAATTTCCGCTTCATCAGGATCAGGGTGAAGAATCTGAGTGTAAACCAACAATCTGAATTTCTAATTTTAGACAAAGTTAAGTGGCAGAGATTCACCAGAGTGAGGATTAGATGGAAAATGATAAGTGTAGTATTTGAGGACAAGAACTTGTCGCCTCCTCAGCTCTTTCCCGCACTCAGCTACTATTAATTTGTTTTGGTACATTTCAGCTACCATAGGATCAAATCGATAGATGTAACACATATCCTACTTATCTTTAAACCAATTCATGATTATGTTAAATCCTATATTATTTCCCTAGAAAAATACAATGTTATAATATGTTACTTTTATTGTTTTTTTATTACTTTTGTAACCCGTTCTTTGTTTTGTTGAGATTATTTTACAGTTTTAGCAAATTAAGGACAAAGAAATCCTCCAGAACAGTTTACTTGTTTTATTTGCATACCAGGTTGACGCAGACGTTAATCAGAGAGCGAAGGTGTGGGAGGAAGGAGATGATTGGCTGGCGCTGCAGCGTCAGACAGATTCCCTCGATCAGATTGCTGGCCGCCTCCCATTCCACTTGTCTCCTGGAAAACCAGGCGGTTTAACCGAATAACAAAAAAAAAAGGAAGGAAAAAAAAGAACCATTAAAGCCCCACAATGTTTAATTTTGAAATTTACAATAAAAATCTCTTATTTGATCACTTACCGCTGCATAACTCCACATATTCTTTTTAATTTAGTTCAAAACAACATGTGTGGACAACGACATCAAAATTAAACTACAAAAACAGCAACAGCTCCGAACGTCTCAGATCAGTGTTCCCTCTGAGCTCCTCCTTTATCATATAAGCTCTTTTCTTTTCTTTTTTCTTCAAGGTATCTTCAGTAAGCAGAGCCTTAACAAACCACAAGAGGCCAGAAAATGTAATACATGGAGCATTTTTAACCACTTTTTTTAAGTCAACCTCCTTGTATCTTTGTTTTATATTGATCTTTATTCAAAGTACAGTTTTCATCTTTTAAATAATTTCAAATATCTGTGAAATTTCACATAAACATGAAGAATTCTGCAACCAGTCTTGCGTCATTGACAGCATAATGCTGCCATCGCTATGCTTTTCTGTTGGTTACATACTATTAAACATCCTCCCCTCCACTTGTTGTCACTGTCTATTCGCTGGTGCTTTGGGGGGATATCTTTCTAGGTTAATGGGAAAGACTAGAAAGTGACACTAGTGTTGTAGAATTCAACTACATGAAGGCTAACGGCTGTTAGCAAATGAAAACATCTATATCCTGTTGCCGTGGTGATTATATGCGGCAAAGAAGAGATGTATGTTTGGAGACCAAAACACTTTGTTGGCCAGGAAATAGTCGGTCACCATTGACAAAGCGGAGACTGGAGCCGCAATGAGTAGCCTACAGCGCTAATTATGAAAAAAAAAGATACGCGTCAAAGCTGCGTTTAAATGAATATAAACACTGCTGTTTAAATAACATGCAGTTCACTAAGGCTGGCAGAGGGTGTTAAAGCATAAAAACAGGTAAAAAAAGAGATTGAATTTAGAATAAAACCATTTCAAAGAGGGCCTTCCATTTTGGAATTAATCATGCTTTTTTAATATACTAACTTGTAATTTTCTGTCAGTGTGATGAAGATGTAGCAAACCAGCAGAATTTACATTTGGCGGAACGTGTTTCTTTCGCCATTAGGGTTTCCCAAATAGGGCGTGGGCGTCGTGACGTAATTACTTTACGTGGCCGCCATGTTGATGGACTCCTTTACCGCTACTCAGACTACTGTCTACGACTACCGCGTACTGTGCTCACTCTCAGCCGTGTTTTAATTTGATTCATTTCACCTTAACGTGATTTCTACCATGGTAAACCTATTGGCGTGAAATTATGCTCTCACAACAACCACGCTGTTATCTTAAAAAAGGACATCACGCAAAGGTTGGGATCTTTTAACGGGAAAATAATAAAAACGGCAGCGGGAAAAGGCTCAAATACGTGAGAAACCCAGAGGGTTTAGGGAGGATTGGCAGTTAACATTACACATAGCAGCTAGTTAACAGTACATTACATACGTGAGTGGTTGTTAGCACTAGCGGTTAGCGGTTACTAAACTAGCAGGTTCCAGAGCCCGTCTGATCACAGCTTACCTTCGTACGGATTACTGTGTTCCCACTGTTTGCTGAACTGCACATGAGACTCCAAGGACTTGTAGCTTCGGAACTGTTTTGAAGTATAGGCGCTCATACCACAAACAAG